TTCTCTCAAGGGCATGTGACCTCTGTGGTATGCTTGCCAAAATGTCATAACTTCATTCTCATCATAAGAAAGCCTCAGAGAAACCCAAATTGGAGAACATTTTGCAAAGTAGTTGACCAGTATTTTTCAAAAGTGTCAAGGACAAAGAAATACTTAGGAATTGTCACTGACTGAAAGAGACATGGCAACTAATTGCAACGGCATTCTGGATTAATTCCAGAACTGAAGGAAGTATTAGATAAAGTCTACAGTAGTTAATAGAATAGTACCAATATTAAGTTCTTGGAGTTGATAATTGTATGATGGTTATGTAAGATGTTGACATTAGGGTAAAGTGAGTGAAGCGTATCTATGGACTCTTTATTCCATCTTTAGATATTATTTAAAAATGAAAAGAACAAGTTATTCTTGAGTTGGCTGTACTTTCATTTCCCTTTCTTTTTTTTTTTAAAGATTTTATTTATTCATTCATGAGAGACAGAGGGAGAGAGAGAGAGAGAAGCAGAGGGAGAAGCAGGGTCCCCGCTGAGCAGGGAGCCTGATGCGGGACTTGATCCCAGGACCCTGGGATCATGACCTGAGCCGAAGGCAGACGCTTAACCATCTGAGCCACCCAGGCACCCATTTCCCTTCCTTTCTTATATTTTTTTTTCTTATCAGTTTTATAATCCCTATGAAATTCTAACTGGAGGTAAATCAAATAAGCTGATTCTCACCATGTTTATTTTTTTAAATTTTGTGTTATTACTACATTAATTTTTAGTATTATACTAAGATTCTAGGGCATTTGATGGATAACTTGGTAGCCATTTTTCTAATCAACATTACATGAGTACTAAAAAGGAAGAAATAGACTGCTACATTTACCCATTTCCTAATTTGCAATGAAAAGTTCTATACCTAACTTCAATGTGAATGGGGAGGGAGTTTTCTCTATATCAACAAGTAATCCTCAGACACCAACTGGGTCTGTCTACAATTCAACCCAATTCTTACACTATCTACCTGAAGATAGTGTCAGATCCCACAGGTTAAGGGCTCAGTCCCACAAAACGGTCCTCCATACACATGCCGCAGAGGCCAGTCCAATTATAGGTTGTTAACTGTGCTTCTGACCAACAGGTTATAGACTGAAGTTTCCATCACCCTTTCTTGGGTTTAATTAATTTGCTAGAGTAGCTCATAGAACTCAAAGAAACATTTTTCTTACTAGATCACTGGTTCATTATGAAAGGATATAACTCTGGAATAGCCAGATAGAAGAAATGCATGGGGCAATGTATGGGGAAGGGATATGAAACCCCGCTCTCCCTGAATCTCCATGTGTTCACTGAACCCCATCATTTTGGGTTATTATGGAGTTTACATTATATAGGCATGATTGATTAAATCATTGATCACTGGTTATTGATTCCACCTCCAGACCCTCTATCTGGAGGGTATGTGTGGGCAGATGGGACTGAAAGATCCAAACTTATAATCAACTTTTTGGATCCCCTGGCAACAGCCCCATTCTTATGTTAACTACTTGCTTTTCCAAGGCCACCTTAGACATAACAAGTGGTACTTTTATCACTCTCTTCACTTAGGAAATTCCAATGATTTTGGGAGCTCTGTGCCAGAAATAGGGACAAAAGCCAAATATATATATCTTAATATAGATCCAATATCACAGCAATGTAATTAATGAATTGGACTTATAATGCTGAATTTAGGTCAGGCTTTCAATTAGTTTGTTCATCTGTAAAGTGAGAGGGTAGAATAGATAAACTCTATGGTCTGTTCAGTCTTAACCTTCTGTGAAACATTATATATGAATGTTATAGGAGGAGGTTGCTTATTTGTTTATTTTATTTGGATTTAGGATTTTTCAAATATAACATATAATTTTGTAAATTCACAAATTATTCTGAGCTTTGAAGATATCCTCATCAGATGGTTGAATCTATTATTCTTAGCTCTCCTATTTATGTTATTGGCCCCATGGGTCCAGACATACTTTGTTTATCATCAGTGATGCCACTACCATTTTCAAGCAATTCTGTTCTCATGTAGCTACCTCAAGGATACATTCTGGAGACAGCCTGTCTTTGGCTTCCTGTTTTATACACCGTCTGGAAACTTCAGCTGGTACAGAATTTTAATCCTTACTATTTAAAAACAATTGGCCATGGAGACTATTCAACCACCACCGATATCAAGGAAATATCCTTATCACACATTCTCCTTCAAGAAGGAGAAGGGTTACAGTGGATACTTTTAAACAACCCTATGTGTTCCTTCATCCAAACTATTCTTCTCTGGGCGATGGATTTACATTTCTGATAGTAATGATAATTGGTTTTTGAATGATTCCTGTGGTGTCCCAACCGACAAGTTCATTTTGAATGTGAACAAGTAATCTGTCAGCAACAACAAAAATTGTAAATGGTTTTCTTAATTTGGTTACAAGATCCAAGTTAAAAAGATAAAACGAGGGCACCTGGGTGGCTTAGTTGGTTAAGCGAATGCCTTCAGCTCAGGTCATGATCCTGGAGTCCCGGGATCGAGTCCCACATCGGGCTCCCTGCTCAGCAGGGAGTCTGCTTCTCCCTCTGACCCTCCCCCCTCTCATGCTCTCTCTCTATCTCATTCTCTCGCTCAAATAATTGAAAAAATATTAAAAAAAATTATAAAACAAACAAAAGAAGAAACATATTATATGCTTACCCTATGATTAAGAATATCAAATTCACACGTGTGGGGCAGTGATTAGAGGTTCTTTAATCATTGCCTAAATCTGCATTCAGATACTGCTCCTTACTAGTTATGTAATGTTGGACAATGAACTTAACATCTGTCAAGCATTGGTGACTAATGGGGCTCTTATAAGAATTAAGTGAGTTCTTTGACTTCAAAGCCTTTAGCACAATCCTAGCACATGGGAAACTAAATATCAACTCTTATTGCTGTAGCTGGGATGCTTACACTGATGCTAATTAATGAGGATGCTACCAAACCATTTCTTAATATATTGCCTTTGAAGTAGTTACTGTCCTACTTTTGGAGAGGTGGTATCCTGTCCCTTTGTCACCTGATTCACAATTTGAATAACAATTATTTCAATTAATTTAAGCTGTTAAAGGAAATGTACTGAAACAATTCAAATTATATCTCTACAAGGCAACAATAAAGGGACACAAAAGGGACATGAACCCTTTCAGTGTGTGTGTGTGTGTGTGTGATAGGTAAGTAAATATATTAACTTTAGCAGTTAATAAGATGAGGATGTATCTATTTTATTATTATTATTATTATTTTTACTCAGAATGCATCTGTATAAACTTCAAGTACCTAATTATATAGCTGATATGTTTCTCAGAGCTAGAGATAAAATAAAAGGAAAGTGCACTCTCTAGTTTCTTGGTATATTTAGGTACCCATTCCTACCTCACTCTCTCAGGACAGCCCTACCTGCATATATACTGGACATATAGTACCTGTAGTACACATATGGTACTTATAGGTGCTGGTGATGTCCAAACCAGAGGTCTGACTTTGAAATTATGTGTATCATTGCTTAGATTGCTGGAATTGTGACTCACTCTTGCTTTTCAGTTATATCTGAAGTCCTGCTCTTGCATTTGAGATTTAATTCTGTTTCTGTGGGCTTATTGTTTGTGGCTAGAAAAAAAAAAAAGGCCACTCTTGTGCTTAGAAACTTAGGAATCAATCTCAAGTGTTTGAAATGTTTGCTTAAACATTGCTTGCTTAATCAGGCTTTTAGCTGATTGCTACACAGTTCAGTGTTTGCTTTATGTACTTCTAGAAGGTACTGTTATAAAACACTCTATGAATTGCGGCTGAAATATACATTATTATCCAGGGGTCTTATTTCATTTGGTCATATTCTCATTGGAGCAGAATAAGAAGGATTTAAGGCATTTTTCTTCAAATAATCAAGAAAAACGTGAGCTTACAAGAGAATTTTCTGAAGGAACTCATTATAGCTGTTCGAGATTATAGTTAAACTTATTGTTTCATGGCTTCACATAAGTCATAACTTTAAAATCCATTAACAATCATTTTGAAGTGCTTATTGATGTGTCTATGAATAAGAATTAAAACATGGCAAAATAATCAACCAACAAACCATAGATATCTCCTAATATTTGTGATAATTACATATGAGGAAGAACTCTAAAATTTAATTAAAAAGTCTGATTGGCACTCCCAATCCTCATGTGTAACAATGAGCAAGGTTATAGGTCCAGGAATATTACTATATACTTGATGTAGTCATCAATTCCTACATAGAGGTTAAAGTTGATTAAGAATCTCTACCACTAATTGAAAATTAAAGTAGTTTAAATTCAAATAATTTATATAATTCACATACGCTTTATGTATAAACAAGAATATTGTTATTTAACCTTAGTAAATAATTTTTTCCTAATTATAAGCTCCATGAAGGCAGGAGTTTTTGTCTAATGACCACATAGGTTTATTTCTTGCTATAAACCTGGGATTACCATGACATCACCTCACATACTATGACATCTACTCACAGCAGGTGCTCAATAAATGGTAGCCTCCTGGAGTCTACCCACGGGTATATGCAGGCACAGGACCATGGCAGCTGACTGGACTTACCTCCAAATGGCAATTGCCTGGACATACCTGGTTAATTCTCATGGAACTTTGCCAGACTTTATGGAGTTCATATTTTTAAAAAATACATTTTTCTTTTCAAGGTGATGATACATCTAAAAGATACAATAAGTTACTGTGACAAGAATAAGCCCAAACTTACTGAAGAATCAAATAAAATATTTGCCAATTCTCAGGCACTATTTCACCAAAAGTTATAGATTGTTTAAGAAAAATTGTTCTGTCAGAATTTTCATACCGGGCATGTAATATTTTGATTGTTCATAAAACCTCATTCTGAGGTATACGCTAAAAGCCTTTCAATTTAATCATTGATCAGAGCATACACATTTTACTTTAGAATAGTAAAGGGGGAGGGCCGAGCAGTCGGACCGGCTGCTGAGACGAACGCTTCACTGGGGCAGTCTCCGCATATCATGGGGAGATAGATGCTGCTGCCTTTGATTGGCCTTGGTCCTCACAGCTCCAAAAAGAAACAGGATCTCGATAAGCTCTATGAGCTGAAGTCCAAAGCTCGGCAGATTATGAACCAGTTTGGCCCCTCAGCCCTAATCAACCTCTCCAATTTCTCATCCATAAAACCGGAACCAGCCAGCACCCCTCCACAAGGCTCCATGGCCAATAGCACTACAGTGGTAAAGATACCGGGTACTCCTGGGACAGGAGGGCGTCTCAGCCCTGAAAACAATCAGGTATTGACCAAGAAGAAATTACAAGACTTAGTAAGAGAAGTGGATCCTAATGAGCAATTGGATGAAGATGTGGAGGAGATGCTGCTGCAGATTGCTGATGATTTTATTGAGAGTGTGGTGACAGCGGCCTGCCAGCTTGCTCGGCATCGCAAGTCCAGCACCCTGGAGGTGAAAGATGTCCAGCTGCATCTAGAACGTCAGTGGAACATGTGGATCCCAGGATTTGGCTCTGAAGAAATCCGACCCTACAAAAAGGCTTGCACCACAGAGGCCCACAAACAGAGAATGGCACTGATCCGGAAAACAACCAAGAAATAACACACGGGAAGGTCAGGGAATGGACAACAATGTATTTGGAGATACTTGAGCTGAGACCTCAGCCATCTCATCCTTGGATTTTTTTTTTAATGCTTTACAGAGAAGCATATATTTTTTATTAACAGTGCAGCAATATCTATAATGACTGAGAGGATCTGCCAAAAGAATAAAGCCTCCTACCCCAACTTCCAGTCCCTTTTCCCTGCTGTCTCAAAGAGGAACGGTGTATCTTCCAGAGAAGATTTTATTTGTGGTTTATTATATAAGTGATTGAATATGGGACAAAGCATTATGGTCTTGTTTGGTGAGACAGTATTAGGATTTGTAGAGGTTTGTGTTTCTTCTCCCTTCCCCTTTTCCCTGTACTTTGTAATGTCAGTGTTTATATGAATATGACTTTCATTTGCTTTTCCAGAATAAAGAAGTTATTAATCGAAAAAAAAAAGAATAGTAAAAAAGATAGAAAGCAATTAATATTTGGTGTTTAAGTAAATATGTTGCTTCCTATATACAATTAATTTTAAATGATCACTTCTGCCTTCAGGTATCTAGATAGAGGAAATATATCCAATAATATAGACTGAATCCTCAAAAAATGCCATTTTCTCTCTGAAAAATATCATCAAAATGTTTGACTTCATATCCTATACTTATTTTTCTTAGGTCAAATTCCATGTTTTGTTTCGTTTTTATATATACTGAAAGCCCTTGCTGTGTGAATGTTGTCCCACTATATCTCTCCATCTATAAATATTGTTTTTATTTTTATATTTCCGTCTAAATAGACTCTCTCAGCACCATCTTTTTCTCTCCCTTCCACTCAGTGTTGGCCCAGTCACACTCTGCGTCCCTAAACTATGTTAGCAACCCCTGACTTAACTTCATTTTCAGTTTCTCCAGGTGTGCAGGTGTCCTTCTCGCCTGGACCTCATGCCTCAACACTCCACAGCCCACCCTTCCTCTATGCTAATATTGTCCACACTGCAACCAGAGTGATCTCCTAAAAAGTAAATAAATCACATCTTGTTAGTTCCTGGCTTATACTTTTCCAGTGTATTCCTTTTGCACTGAGAATGAAATCTGAACTCTCAGCAAGGCCAGGATGATGAGGGCGATGTGGCCTCTCCCTCCTTGGCTCTCATTCTGTATGCTCCAGCTTAGACTTTACAATAAGCCCAACAACACTTATTTTACAGATGAGCAAATAAAAGCCTAGGGAGGTTAAATTTATCCAAGGGTACACAGCTGACCTATGATGCAACTCAGGTCTATTTGACTCCAAATCATACACTCTTATTCGATGCTACAAAACTCATATTTCGTCCTCTGTGAAGCCTTCCTTGGTATTTTAATTAACAAAAAGATATTGTATCTTTACTAGTGCTTAACATTAGATTATTAATTGTATTGCGTCTTTCCCTGCAAACTGTGGGCTTCACAAAGCATGTCCTAGTACGATGTTTGGTATAATGTTGAGCACATGAAAGGCAATAGGTAACAATTTTTGAGTAATTAATTATTCTGGGCTATAATTGATTAACAGAAAGCAAACACATTATAGATATGTTGTAAATATTTCAATAAAATAAATTTCCCTGAATGTTGATAATTAATCATAATAGAAAGCTGGGTAGTAAATATGCTATTTTTTTTCATTTTCTAACAGTCATTTTTATTATTTTAGTGTGTTCACTCAAAAGAAAAACAAAACAAAATTCTAGAAAATACTTGTTCTGGATGCACAAATAAACAATCAACATTCGTTTAGTACATGGCAAGTTAAATGTTATGAGAGGTTTTAAGAAATTGAAAGATCAGAGGCTGTCTCTGAAGGTCTTTTGATTCTCCTGTCACTCAGATTGCTCAAAGAAAAATACTAACACATGACAAGTACATAGAAACCCATAATTTTACCAACATATCCACAAAAGCCTGAAGATTCACATAACTAGAAAGAAATTTCATAGACTTTATTAGTCTCAAATGCTTGGACAAAGGTCTTCATATAATAGTTTTATTTTTCAGTAGAGATTTGATAGAGAAATAAAATGATCTTTGGTGGGGGACAGTATTCTGCACAAGAGAATTAATTGGAACTCAAAGAGAAATCTGAAAATATATTTTGAGGTAAGGATTAATTATTCATTTCAAAAGCAATGATTGTCAGCTAGATGGACAGGGCAGAGATGGATAGATGGGGAAGAGCATTTGAGTCAGCAGTACCCAGGTAAAAATCCTGACAGTCTCACTATGGAGGAGTTGTGATTTGATGAGAGGCACATTTCTATCTAGAAATTAGATGCCGGTGGTTCTCTGTTCATTGTACTTTTAACCAGGCATCTCTTCCCATGTTCACCATCCTCACCAATTCATTTGTCTGTGCATGGAATTTACTTTATTTACCACAGGCATTTTTAACCAAATCTGAGTTCAGTGACATTTCTCTTCCCGCTCTCTCCACAACATGCAGGAGGCAAACATCCCAGAAACTTCCCATCTCTCTTATTCACAAGGAGGCTTTACAAGTGCTCTAGGTACAACAGGGAAACTTCACAGTGACACAATAACCGGCCTCTGCCCCAGGAAAGATTAGCATTCCAAAGCTCTTCTCCTTGCCTTTTGAAGAATACCTTTACATTTGACAGGGAGCCAAGATCATGTTACATCAAGACTAAAGGCATTCTGGCATAATTACGCTGCAAATGTTTCTACAAATCCTGATATATATTAAGGCAATTTAGATAACACAAACATTTTCACTTCTCCTAATTGAATTTTATATATACTTCATCAGTATGCTCAATCGATGTAAGGTGACCGTAGAGTTTTTTTTTTTTTTAAGATTTACTTATTTATTTGGGAGAGAGAGAGAACACACACAAGTGGGGGTAGGGGCAGAAGGGGAGGGAGAGAGAGAGAATCCCAAGCAGATTTTGTGCTGAGCGGGGAGCCTGAGGTGGGGCTTGATCTCACCACCCAGGAGATCGTGACCTGAGCTGAAACCAAGAGTTGGATGCTCAACTGACTGAGTCACCCAGGCGCCCTGACTAGTAGAGTTTATTTATGGTGACCAACACAGTTGTCTACTAATTATAAATGGGTCAGAAGTTCTGCAGTTTAGTCTGAGTCCTCTAATATTTTACCACTTAGAGTGTATTCCTCTGAGCAGCATCAGCTTCACATGGAGTTTGTTAGAAATGCTGGCCCTCAGCCTCACAACAGCCGAGGTATTTGCGTTGACCTTAAGGTAAAAGATGTCCTGTTCTAGGCAGAGCCTCTATGGCTATTTGTGATGAAAGATCAGTGCGTTTTCCCCAGGTCACTCTGCCCCATCCATTGTGGACTGATACTTTTGCAAAATACCATAAAAATAAATTTCTAGAAAAATTAAATCACAAAACAATGAAAATTATATTTTAAATGCCAAATTTTTCATATGTATGTGCACTACATTTAGCTTTATAATCTTTTTTCTTTGTAGATATGTATGAGTGAATATGAAAAAGAAATATAGGAGAAATTTTAAACAATGAATATAATGCATAACATAACCATATTAAACATAATACCATTTATGGAGTGTTTCTATGTGCCAACAATTCATTGTGTTCTATAGTTTCACATATTCTATCACATGACCCTCGTGATTCTTGGAGAATACGTCCAGTTCATTTGCCCATTTTATAGATAAATAGTCTAAGGTTTAGGTTAAACAACTCACTTGATGTCACACAGCTAGAAAGGGATGAATCCTGAGTTTGAATCCAAGTTCTATATAACTTGAAAGCCTAAAACTTTTGCCTTCCTAAGACCTCAATCTGATCTTTCCAAAGAATAGAGAAATTCAGAGAAAACATGTGTGCTGTATTATTTCTAGAAATCCCAAGTGTTGACAAGAAAGTCAGAAGAATGTTACTATATCAATGCTTTCACCCTACATTCTAGGCTCCTTTCTGTTATTGTCACTGTAATACAATTGATGGCAGGGGGCTTGTTAGGCAGAAATAAAACTGCTGATCTGGGTGGAGGGGGATAGAGAGAGACTGGTTGAAAATGAGGATGGTTGATTAATAGTGAAGATTAAACACTCAAAGGAATATAACTCTTACCTTTAACATTTACAATAATATCGTTGCCAAATAACTCCCTAGAGTGGAGAAAGATGTAAAAAAGACATTTTGGGAATTAATATACAATTTGGGAAGGAAGTTATTTAAGTAAATATGTATGCTTTCAGAAAAAAAAATGGCACAGAAATGAACAGATCCCATATCTAAAACGTATTTCTGACTTAATGTAGGGTTGAGATGAACTTCTGATATCTTTAAAACAAGAATTAGGTTTTATTCTTTTATTTATTCAATCATCATTTGAGGGGAGTTGCTTTCTAGGGAGGATTATACAGGCAGGCTTCTCCATGGCGGCCCTTCTCTTAGCGGCAGGGCTCACTGGCACCTGTGCTCAGACCTGAGTATTGAGCTAATGTTATAGTAAATCTATTCTTGGCAACAGCCGCTGCAGTCTGCAATGTGATTGTTGATTCTGGTCATTCAAGACAATCGCCGTCTACAATGCCAGGGATAGCTGTCACTGAGCTACATTTTTACATATAGCTCATTTTGTTTTCCTCCCATCATTCTTTTCCTCTATGGGAGGAAATATTACACAACCTTCAGTAGATTAGAATTAGCGATCTATCTGCTTTGCAAATGATATATTAAAAATGGACATTTCATTTGAGCAATAAGCTAACAAGCTGTCACTGCTATAATAGTGCTCCTACCATTTATTAATTGAAAATCAATTTGGTTTATATTTCCAAAATGCTGCAATTACCTGGACTGTTACATCACACTGCCAAGATTTTCTTATGTGTTATTTAGACCTTGACAATTAAATCAGAAATGCAACATATTAATCCTCAGAGCCCTCACCTCTCGTTTTTTCCCACTTTATCTTTATGATTAATTAACTCAAAGATGGTCTGGTTAAGGGAATATTGCACAACTTTGACCAATAGATACTTACAAAATGTAAATGAGGTCCTGAGTTTTTTAGAATTTGGTGCTAAAATTTTTGAAAATGGGCATTTACAAAATATGAATGAAGTGCTGAAAGTGTTGAACTTCCTGGGTAAGAGAAATTTGTATGTTTGTTGGTGTTGATTAGTACAAAGGGTGGAGTT